TCAGAAGTTCAAGACCATCTGAGCCAACATGGTGAAACTCCATCTCTATTAAAAACACAAAACTTGGCTGCCCATGGTGGCACACGCCTGTCTGTGATACCAGCTACTCAGGAGGCTGAGGCAGGAGAATCACTTGAACCCAGGAGGTGGACGTTGCAGTCAGTGAGCTGAGATCACGCCACTCCACTTTATCCTGGGTGACAGAGCAAAACTCTGTCTCAAAAAAAAAAAAAAAAACAAACAAACTAATAATGGCTGCTGCTTAGAATGTCTCTAAGGGGTTAAAGGAGAAAAGAAAACTGTGGGCCATATGTTGAATGGTCTTAACTACGAGGCTGAGGAATTTGGCCTTTGTCTTTAAAGAATGAGTTGTGCTGCAGGGTTTTAAGCATTGGGCAGTCAATAGCAGATTTGTTTTTTTAGAAATAATGGCCTGGACATAGGGTGGTAGTTTTAGGGATATCTCTGAAAGAGATAAGAAGTTTTTAAAAGTCTTGCAATCATCCTAATGGAATGCTAAAAAAAAAAAACAACAACAAAATCTGAACTCAGACGATGTCTGTGGGGAAAGAGACACAGAAGCCCCTCAAATAATACCCAAGTATGAGCTGTTTGTACTCTGCACACATGAGTCAGCCTCAGCCATTATCCTGGACACCTGATGAAGTCTTCTTTTATATCCAGTGTTGTATGGAGTACATGTTTGTCAAAAGACTATTGGATGACTCATGATTCAGGCCTCTGTTTTTTGCAGGTCTCTTTTTATTGAGACTTGGAAGAACACTAATAGGTACCCGGGCACCACTTTGTTTTGTCAACCTGTAGAGTCCTAAAGCCCCATCTAAGAGCAAAGACCAAATGAGAAAATTACCAGCAATCGCAACAGGTAGAATCCAAAGGAGCTATTCAGAGAATGTACAAAGAAAATAAATAGGAAAAAGTGAAAGATACGTTGGTTACAAAGATCCAACTTGATATCAGTCAAAGAAGAATAAATATAATCCTGATAATCACCCACTGCTTTCACCATCTGGAATGTCGTGGCGGCTCCATTTGACTTCACCATGGGCTGCCCAGATATTTAGTTAAATATTCTCCCTGGGTGAGCCTGGGAGGGTGTTTCTGAATGAGATTAGCATTTGAATTAGCAGACTGAGTAAAGTGAATTTGCCTCCCCAATGTGAGTGGGTCTCATCAATCCATTGAAAGCCTGGATCAAATAGACTGGATAATAAAAAATAATAATTCGGGGCCGGGCGCGGTGGCTCACGCCTATAGTCCCAGCACTTTGGGAGGCCGAGGCGGGTGGATCACGAGGTCAAGAGATCGAGACCATGCTGGTCAACATGGTGAAACCCAGTCTCTACTAAAAATACAAAAAATTAGCTGGGCATGGTGGCTCATGCCTGTAATCCCAGCTACTCAGGAGGCTGAGGCAGGAAAATTGCCTGAACCCAGGAGGCGAAGGTTGCGGAGAGCCGAGATCACGCCATTGCACTCCAGCCTGGGTAACAAGAGTGATAAAACTCCATCTCAAAAATAACGATAATAATAATAATAATAATTCTTGCTACTCCCTGTCTTTGAGCTGGGCCTAGTCTCCTCCTGCCTTCAGACTCAGACATGGCCTGGAAGTTACACCATCAGTTCCCCTGGTTCTCAGGGCTTCAGTCTTAGCTCAGAAGTACACTATGAACTCTCCGCATCTCCAGCTTCCTTGCCAACCGCAGAGCATGAACTTTCAGCCTCTATAATGATATGAGCCTATTCCTTTATCTATTATTATAACTATCATCTATATATCCTATTGGTTCTGTTTCTCTGGAAAGCCCAGACTAATATGTGATGAGGTTTATAAGATTTCGGCCTAAATAATGTCCACTCAGCCCTCTAATAGCAGCAGGCGGAGTATGATGTTTTACTGTGGATGTTTGTTTTTAAATCAGCACACCTTCTTGGGTGGTTTTTTTTTTCTTGAGACAGGGTCTCATTATGTTGCCTAGAGTTGTTTCAAACCACAGGGCTCAAGTGATCTTTCTACCACAGCCTTAGGAGCTTGGACTATAGATATGTGCTACCACCCTCAGCTGCGTTTTTTAATAAGTGAGATAGAAATCATTCTATGATTTCAAGTAGACAGTACTCCCGGAAGCAGAATGTGTTAGTACTCTTTTGCTGCATAACAAATTACCATCAATTTAGTGCCTTAAAACTATACATCTATTACCCTTCCCTCCTTCCCTCCCTCCCTCCTTCCCTTTCTCCCTTCCTTCCTCCCTCCCTCCCCCTCTTCCCCCTTCCCTTGCCTCCCCCTCCCTCTCTCTCCCCCTCTCCCTTCCCTTCCTTTCTCTTCCCTCCCCCTCTCCTTCCCTTCCCTCCCCCCTCCTTCCCTTCCCTCCTCCTCTCCCTTCCCTTCCTTTTCCTTCCCTTCCCTTCCCTACCCCTCTACTTCCCTTCCCTCCCCTCCCCTTTCCTTCTCTTCCCTTCCTTCTCCTTACCTCCCCTTCTATTCCCCCCCTCCCCTTCCCTTCCCTTCCTTTTGTGTAAGCCCCTCACTTTGTCACTCAGGCTAGAGTGCAGTGGCACAATAACTCACTCTAGCCTCGAACTCCTAGGCTCAAGCAGTCCTCCCTCCTCAGCCTCCTGAGTAACTGGGACTAAAGACACACACCACCATGTCAGACTACATTTTTATTTCTTAAACTTTTTTTGTAAAGACGGCAGTCTTACTATGTCACTCAGGCTGGTCTCGAACTCTTAGTCTTAAGCAATCCTACTTCAGCATACCACAGTGCTGGAATTACAGGGATGAGGCACTGCACCCAGCTGTTCCACTGTTTCCATAGGTCAGAAATTCATGCCGAGCTTAGTAGAGTCCTCTGCTCAAGGTCTCACAAGGCTGTAATCGAAGTGGCAGCTTGGCTGGAATCTCATATGAGGCCCTGGGTCCTCTTTTATGCTCTGATGGTTATTGGCAGAATTCATTTCATCAAAACTGTAGAACTCATGGTAGCTTGTTTTTTTCTCTTTTCTTTTCTTCTTTCTTTCTTTCAATAGAGATGGGGTCTTGCTATCTTGCCCAGGCTGGTCTTGAACTTCTGGTCTCAAATGATTCTCCTCCTCCTTGGCCTCCCAAAGTGCTACAATTATAGGTATGAACTACCATACCCAGTCAGCTTGTTTCTTAAGGGTCTTAAAGAAAATATCTTTTATTTATTTCATTTCTGATCTCTAGATCCTCTTCTAAATGGGACACCTAGTTAGGTAAGACTCACCTCCATAATCTTCCTTGAATGTGGACTGATTAGGCACCTTAATTACATCGGCAAAATCCCTTCACCTTTGACAGATAGTGATATCTCATCACCTTTGCCACAAACTATTGGTTAGGAACAAGGCATAGGGTTATCCCACACTCGGAGGGAGGAGATGACACAAGGATATGCATCATTGGTGATCATATTAGAATTCTGCCTACTACACAAAAGAATGGACCAGTTTGTCACAGTGATTTGACATCATTACATGGAAGTCTGAGAATGTCAGTACTTGCATACAAAGCATTTCCCTTGAGTTTTGAATAAAGTCTGGCTATGTTATTTTGCTATGTTTTGATTACTTATGTCCACCACAATTTCCATAATGTCTTCAGCTACTTTAAATTAAGATAATTAGCCTCTATATTTACAAGGTAACTATTCTTTGGGAAAATATCACTAAGATATTCCAAGATATCACTAAGATCTAGCTGGTCAAGTTGCTTGTCAAAGGATGGTTCTACTTCTTGAGCTGGTTTCTGAAAGTTTTTTTCTATTGATGACTATTTTGTTAACTATCTGAAACAAGATTTATCCCTTCTTGAGGTATAAATTTCTCAGCTTTGCTTTGCAAGCCTTGGAGATCAATGCTGCTTTATTTAAGAGCTCCTCAATCAATTCCTTTTCTTGAGAAGAAAAGAGAAAATGGTAGAAATATGGTTGTCAAGGAGGGCAGGTTGTGGTGGACATTTGATGCACCACACAGACCCCCTCCAGGGATGAAGAACATATTGCCTCAACTGCTGGCAGTGCCACTAGTGGATGGCCCTTGTCTCCCACCCTTTTTGAGGATTCTGTTTGTTAAGAAAATCGCCTCACTTCTTTTTTTTTTGAGACAGAATTTCACTGTTGTTACCCAGGCTGGAGTGCAATGGCACGATCTTGGCTCACCACAACCTCCACTTCCTGGGTTCAGGCAATTCTCCTGCCTCAGCCTCCTGAGTAGCTGGGATTACAGGCACGCGCCACCGTGCCCAGCCAATTTTTTGTATTTTTAGTAGAGACGGGGTTTCACCATGTTGACCAGGATGGTCTCAATCTCTTGACCTCGTGATCCACCCGCCTCGGCCTCCCAAAGTGCTAGGATTACAGGCATGAGCCACTGCGCCTGGCCAAAAATTGCTTCACTTCTATGGTTTGGCTGTGACCTCACCCAAATCTCATTTTGAATTATAGCTCCTATAATCTCTACATGTCATGGGACAGAGCCAGTGGGAGGTGATTGAATCTTGGGGGTGAGTTTTTCCTGTGCTGCTCTTGTGATAGTGAATAAATCTCACAAGATCTGATGGTTTTGTAAAGGGCAGTTTTCCTGTACATGCTCTCTTGCCTGCCACCATGTAAGATGTGCCTTTGTTCCTTCTTCACTTTCCACCATGATTATGAAGACTCCTCAGCCATGTGGAACTATGAGTCCATTAAACTTCTTTTTCTTTATAAATTACCTAGTCTTGGGTATTTCTTCATAGCAGTGTGAAAATGGACTAATACACTCAGCCAATTGCATGTCTTGTTCCAAGAACAGCCCACATCCAGTGACTGATAAAGGCAGGAGTATAAAGGTATGTGGGGTCATCTCAGCTCCAGAGCTACTTATGGAGTGATCTAATCCAATCACTGGGGCTACATACAAATTCAACATCTCCCTTTCTCTAATCTTGCTTCCTTTTCTCCTTTTTGCAGTTGTTAATTCCAAGAGTACCTCCCAATAAATGCCCACATGCTAATAGCTGATTCCAACTACTTTCCAGTGAATCTAACCTACAACTGCAGAGAGATTTGGGCAGGGTAAGTATCTGGACCCTATCCTTTGCCTAGCCACTCCATACTATGCACTGTTCTAGAAGGATGCAGTGCTACATTTCCTTGACTTTATACAGGCTGTTTCCTCTGTCCCAATTTCTTCATTTTGTGACTGAACTTCTCCTCATTTTCTGAGGCCTATATGAAATGTGAACTTTTATGTATATCCTTTTTTTATCTGCTGGGTGAAATTAGTTCCCCCCCTTCTACAATTTCATTGCCCTGTCTGCATACCTATGCTACGTGTAGAGTACCTATTACATTATATTCTGTTTATTTGTTTGTGTGTTACTTTTCCTTGCTTGATTGTACAATCCTTCGATACCTAGATTATGTAAGAAGGTTCAGTTAACAGGTATCATAAAGCTTCATAGAAATGACTGGTTTAATGAAGAGCCTTTTTTGGTGTAGTAAAATTTAAAGAGGTGAAAGGATGCATCATTTTACACTGTAGGAAAGATGTGTGCAAAGTTTAGCAGCAAGAGTGAGTATAGCATATATACAAGGGGGCAGTGAGGTGGTTAATCTAGCTGTAACAGAGGATTTAAATTATGGGAGATAAGAAAGGACTAGAAGGCTAAGATGAGCTTATGAAAATATTTTAATTTCATGTTAAGGTGTAGGTCAAGAATTTCAGACTCCTGCGCCTCAGGAGCCAAGCAGATAACATGAATAAAGATGTTTTGGTATAAAAATTTTCTTGACACTGGATATTAGATTTGAGTATCATTTTACTTTTTCATTGTCATTAGAAAAACAATGCATTTGTGATGATAAATGACAGCACATCCTTGGTGTTACAAAGCAGAATTGCTAAGATTTATTATAGTGGTCTTTTTTGATCCCATTGTACATTAAAAAAACTTGAAGTTTAGAGAGGTTTTACTGATTAGCTTATTGTTTTCTATTTTATATTGCATTGATTTCTGTTCTAATCCTTATTATTTCCTTTTTTTTTTTTTTTTTTTTTGCTTACTCTGGGTGTAATTGGCTCTTCTTTATCTGCTTTATTAAAGATGAAATTGAGGCCTATTATTTATGACTTGACATTTTGTCTAATATAGTCTTTTAGTTCTATAAGCTTCTACTCTTTTAGCTTCTTCTCGCAAGTGTGATAATGTTGTGTTTTCATTTTCGTTTTATTAAAAGTACTTTCAGAGGTTTTATTTAATTTCTTCTTTGACCTTTGGTAATTTAGAAGTGTGTTAGTCTGATTTAAAATATTTGGGACTTTTACAGATATCTTTCTGTTATTGATTTCTTATATATTTTCTATTGTTGTTAGAGATTATACCGTGGATAATTTGTATTTACAAAAATTTATTGAGACATTTTTATGGCCATAATATGCTCTATCTTGGTAGTTGTTTCATGTGTGCTTGAAAAAATAATGTATATTATGCTATTTTGGGGTAGATCTATAAATGTCTGTTATGTCAATTTGATTGGTATTGTGTTATTCATGTCTTCTACATTCTTACTAATTTTCTGTCCACTTTTTCTATGAGTTATTGAGAATGAGGTTTTAAAATCTCCAACTAAAATTTTGGATTGGCCTATTTCTCTTTGTAGTTTTATCAGTTTTTACTTTATGTATTTTGCAGCCTTATTATTAGGTTCATGAATGTTATCATAATTTCCTCTTAATGAATTGCCCCCTTTATGTTTAAAAATAATGCTCATTGTCTTGAGTAATACTTTTTGCGCTGAGTTCTACATTGTCTGATATTAATGTAGACACTCCAGGTTACTTTTGGTCAGTGTTATCACAGTACTTCTTCTCTCTTTTTATTTTTAACACATTTGGTTCTATATATTTAAGGTAGGTGTCTTATAGGTTGCATATAGTGAAGTCTTGCTGTTGAATCCAATTTGAGAACCGCTGCCTTTTAATTCTGCTGTTTATTGTGTTTCATATGATTATTGAAATCATTTATTTAAACTTGCAATGTTGCCATTTTTTTCTGTTTGTTTGATTATGGGGTTCACACTTTCTTTTTATGCTTCTTTTGGATGAATTTTGTATTTTTATTTTGTTTTATCTCTTTGTTGGTTTATTAGTTTTAACTCTTAGTTGTGTTCGTTCAATGATTGCTTTAGGGTTTAAGAGTACACATTTTGGACTTAGCACAATCTACTTTCAAGTGGTATTATATACTATATACTATAAAAAACCTTACAAGGGTATAGTTTTACTTCTTTGCTTCTGGAATTTGTGTTACTGTTGTCATACATTTTATATTTACATATGTGACAGTCTCACATTATATTGTGGTTATTATTGATTTAAGCAAATAGTTATCTTTTAAAGGTAATTAAATAATAAGAAAAGTAGTTTTATGTTTACTTATGTGTTTCTGGTGCTCTTTAGTTCTTTGTTGATTCAGGTTTCTATCTTGTACCATTTTCTTTTTGTTTGAAGTACAAGTATTCCTTTACTATGTTTTACAATACAGGTTTGCTGGATATAAACTTGAAGAAGTTTTTCCTTCATCTTTGTTATATGAAAATATTTTTGCTTGGAAAAGAATACTAGGTTTTTTTTTTCTTTCTTTCTTTCTTTCAGTAGTTCAAAGATTTTGTACCACTTTCTCCTGGCTTCCTCTACATCCTATGAGAAATTTACTATTATCATTATTTTTGTTCCATGGTATGAAATATGCTTCCTTTGTATGGCTGATTGTAAGCTTTTTCTTCCATTTGTTTAAACAACTTTGATTATGATGTGCCTTGATGTAATTTTCTCCACAATTCTTTTTCTTGGGGTATGTTGATATCCTTGGATCTATGGATTTAAAGGTTTCTTCACATTTTGAAAATTTTCAGCCACTGTGTCATAAAATACTTTTATGCCCCCCTTTCAGGACCAATTACACATATGTTGGGCTCCTTGAAGTTATCCTACAACTCAGTGATGATCTGTTCTCTTCTTCTTTTTTCTATCTTTTTTTTCCTCTTGTGTTATTTGTTTTATTTTATTTCTTTGTACACTTTAAAGCTTGTATATAATCTTTACAGATCTTTTCTTCTATATTATCTAGTCTAGTTTAAATCCAATTTAGTATGTGTTTCATCTCATACATTATACTTTTTATTTCTTGAAGTTTAATTTTTTTATTTTATATCCTTTATTTTCCTCCTTAACATACTTAATCTTTAACTTCTTGTATGTTATCCTGCTATAATAGCTGTTTTAAAATCCTTGTCTGTTAATTCTATAATCTTTCCTAGTTTGAGTTCAGTTTTGACTAATTTTTACTAATTATTGGTAGTATTTCCCTACTGCTTTGCATGCCTGCAACTTTTTTATTGGATGCCAGGCTATTTAAATTTTACCTTGCATGCTGGATATTTTGGTGTCTCTATAAAAATTTTTGAGTTTTGTCTTGGACTATAGTTAAGCAACTTTGACATAGGTTGATCTTTTCAAAGTATGTTTGCTAGTACCAGAACATGTAGTTTCGGGCTTGTTTTCCGGCACTAAGGCAAAACTTGCCATGATTTATACATGATGCTGTATGAATTATATGGTTCTCTCCTCTAGCTAGTGGGTGTAGTCTACGTGTGCTTTGCAAATATTTCCTCTAATATTTGGGGGTATTTCTTTCACTAGACTTGGAGAGTCTTCTTACATTCTGCACTTATTTGTATTTAATTGAATATTTGAGAAGGACCCTCTTCAGATACCCTCAAACTCTTTTGCAGGTCTCTTATCTCTAACACTCTTTCATGTAAAATCCAGTTGTCTTCGCTTCTGTAGACTCTCATCTCTGCTTCCTCAACCCAAGAAGTTCACCAGTCTCTGCATGGGTTTGCACTCCATGTGCCACATCCTGGAAACCTTCTTCAAGTAGTAATATGAAGCATTAGTAGAGAACTTTTTTTTTTTTTCTGGTCTCAGAATCACTGCCCTTCTTTGCTTACAGTCCAATGATATGAGAATGATTGTTGCATATATTTTATTTGAGTTTTTAATTGTTTCAGGCAGCTGGGTAAATGCAGTCCTTGTTACTCCACATTGGCTGGAAGTGAAGTTTCTCCACTTGAACTTTTCAAAACTTAATTTTTAAACGGCAATTCCAGTTTGGAGGGCTGACTGGCTGGGTCCATCTCATTGACTTTAATTACCTTGCTTATTTCTTTGATCACTTTTTGTTGTTGTTCTGTCTCCTATTCTAGAGTGCGCACATTTTCTCTCTTACCCCAGCACTTGGAAGGCAATGGCAACTGTAACAATGTAACATCATCTCCTCCCCTTGCCTCTAACCCCAGGACTGGCACTGGCTCCCTAATTGTTGGTTATCTCTGGGTTTCCTCACCTTGGCAGTTATGGAAGGAAGTGCTAATTAGATGTTCCTTTAACTGCAAGGGTAACATGATTAACTGATCATCCCAGCTGCTTTACCACTCTATGGATTCATTTGGGGTTGGACAAGACCATGTTTCCTCCAGGCTGCTCCCAGGCAATGACTGCACGTGGCAGAGATTAAGTCCAGTTCACTCCTGCCTATTTCAGGACTCTGCTATTGATCAACTATTTCTTGGAAACTATCCATCCACCTGTTTGAGATGCCAGACTGTGCTGCAACCTGAGGCTCTTCCTACCCTGTCCTTCCTTCCATTGGTGTCAGATTTTACTTTCCGAAAGCTCCAGCTTCCTCCTCCTTCACCTTCCTGTTTTATACTTCATAAGTGCTTCCTCCAGTAAATCTTTTGCATATCTAATCCCACCTTGACGTCTGCTTCTTGGAGGACTCAGACTTCTATCTATACTGACCTCCTCCTCTTTGGCTTTGTAGTCATCTCAGCACATTCATAACTAGGCATGGCCTTTTTTTTCCCCTGACTAAACTCTGTTTAATACAAAGCCTATCTGTTCTATGAAGATACTTTGGGAGGAAGACATGGGCATTTCATCAGTTAGAGTTCTGCCCCTTATTTCTGCTTCAACCAGAGGAGGTCCACATTTCAATTTTGCTCTTGGG